CCCAAGCGCGTGAAGGGGGTCAGCCCAGTAAGGTAAGGAGACCTTCCAGGCAGGTGGGGCCAGGATTCTGACACTGGGCGCATGCGACAAAGACTTCCAACGGTCGAAAGGGTACGGAGCGTGGACCAGCTAACGTCATGCACCTCGGTCTTCTGATCAAGGGGTCAGACGGTCGAGGCGCATGGAGCGTAAGTGTACGGCGCATTAATTGCGGGTCTGACGGAGGGCGGAAGGGAAGGATGTTGGTCGGCCAGGCCCCTAGTATAATGTAACACCCTACCCTATACGTTTTGCCTAATCATATTGTTCATACAATTGCAGCGGAATTAATCTCGGGTGTTACATTAATTATCAAATTTTACCTAAATAAAATTTCGACATGAATTACTCGCGTAATGGGCTAACAGTTCTTGCAACTGAACCTGCAAAATAATTCATCACAAACATATATACTCACAACCATATGCATTGGCTTTTCTTAGCCATAGTCACACTTTTCATACTTCCTAACTGCATACCATACTTATACATACCATAATCGTCACAACTTACACAGTTACACAACATATACACATATCATTAACTTTCCACACCTGTGGATATCTCACACTACATTCGAAGCTAGTATGCACATGAAAATGTTCTCAAAACATTTTTACAAAAAGGGTGTGGATCACTGGCCAAAATCCCAAGTAGTAGTCCAAGCACCAAATAGTTGAAGACTATACCTCATCCTGGCTTCAACTCTAGCTCCTCTCCCACCTAACACTTATCTACTGCTGCTGCTGATGATCTGCTTACACATAGCATAAGCAGAGAAGAAGAATAAAAGAGGGTCAGCTCATAGCTGAGTGAGATAATCATCGCATAGTGAGTTCATAACAGAGCATACCCCTACTATACATCTAGCAGACAAGCCAAAACACTAGGATCGGACCTCAGCCATCCTCATATCCCAATAAGCAAAAGACTCAACCACTTTGACTTATGCATATGCATCTTATCATGTTTTAATCATAGGCGCCTGGCTACTCCCATGCTAATAACTCTCCCGGGAAACATACCCCACATCCCGTCGGATGTAGTCATACATACCCCAACATCCCGTCGGATGTGGTCATACATACCCCACACCACTATGGGTGTAGTCATACCCCGACACCACTCTGGGTGTGGTCATATCTCGTAAGAATTCTTCAGTCACCACCACATGAGAGGTGTGACTATCATATCATAATAGAGTAATAGCATAGGGAGCCCTAATTACTATGTAGTTGACCGTGAGACCACAACACTCATATTTGGTATCCTTATACATGATTCATATCTCATCTTGCTTAATCATAATTCATTACTTGCACATGTACTTGACCAGGCCACCATTGGCTCAACATAGGTAAATCAGGAGTCGCATAATTGCACTTCCTCGGGATAAACCCTCGTGCAAGTCATCCTGCTTAAAACATCATAATATCACCCTGGGAAGTTTATTTCCCCCACTTGTGAATCCAAATACAACCACAATATCACATCATATCAAAACACCTGATCGAACAACCATGAATTCATATCAACGGTTAAGCCACACATGGCAACATGTATGCAATCATCAACATAAACAAGGTCCATATCGGCTAGGGCAAATCAATAATATCATACAACAGTCCAGGGTTCATCATATAACACAAAAGTCCATACACCCCTAATCATGCCATTCTAGTTCACCTAGGTCAATTCTAAGCATCAATATAATTATCGTGATACGACAAACCCGGTATGCCGTGCTAATCCCTCACCAGTTCTGGTCGTTCAAACACCGGTTCTAGCCTCCCGTACTAAAACATCAATTTCACGAACGAACCCCGAATTAAAATCCGAGACCGTCCTAATATCCCCTGCAGTATCCCCGTCAATATTAGTTCTAGGCTCCGGGTCAAATTCTTGATAAAAACACATCAAACCCTGGCCGGAGCTAAATTCAGCGGTTTGGACCCCGGCCTAAATAATAGCCGAAAATCAGGAATTAGAACTAGGGGATTGATTACCTCGCTGCAAGAAGCTCGTATATGAAATTTGGGCTCAATCCGGCTTCCGGATACTCCGAAACCCTAATTTGGCTTATCGGGAAATCAAGAAATTCCTGAACCAAAAACTCGTTTTAAAGCTCTAAATCGATAAATCACGATGTATGGATGAATTAGGCATTACTTACGGGATTTTTGGATCACTAGGGCTCAAGATTGGAGCTTTGGAAATTCTACCCGAGCTCCCCTGTACGCTCTCTGTTCCTCTTCTTCTCTCGCGGATGGAAATGAGAAAAAAATGATGTTGATGATGATAATTAATGGACGGGGGAGAAACTTTATATAAGTGACCGCTTAATTGTAATATTATATATATATATATATATATATATATATTATAATTAATACGTATACCTATCCGATCGATCGATAATCCGATTTTCGCCGAAATAGTGTCGAAATGCTCGATTTTAAATCGCGAACTTTCTAGCGATCGAAATATGGGTTTTGCCGGAACGGGATGTTACATATAAATAGCGAGGTTGGTGAACCTCATTTACTCAGGTTAGACCTTCTCTCTAAAATCACTATTTACTTCTCTCTCTAGAAACAAGGTGCTGACTTGGGCGTCGGAGTGCTAACAAGCCATAGGAAGGGCTCGAGGGGCGCCTTTGCGTGCAGGGGGAGAGCGTGCGGACGGGTCAACGCGCGGGGCGACAGGGCGCAGAAGTTACGTGGCACAAATAATTGACGCGCCTGATAGGGGAATACAACCTCGCAAGTTTAGGAGTCATGGAGGCGCCAGAGGAAATGGAAAGCGAGAGAGGGCGTGGGGCGAATGAGGAGGCATCAAAAGAGGCGCCCGGTTTATCGGTGGAGGCGCATGGAGGGGACAACGAGGCACAAGAGACGGCCCAGTCGGAGGGTGACACGCTACGACACAACACCGAACAATGGCCAAGTGTAACCAATGAAAGGGACTGCAGTATACTGGTGCAAGTAATAAATATCGAATCCTCGGGTCTCTAGATGTACTATTACTCAGCTTCAGTTCATTATCTAGCAAATCAGATTAAGGATTGATTAACTAAACTACTCTACTAACTAAACTAAGTAAAACTACTAATTACAGTTTGGGAACTCACTTAGGTATGATTCCCCCTAGCTCCTCAATTAGGTCCAAGTTGTAATTCCTTTTGGTTGTTTTACTGTTGATTAAACTGCGAAAGTTCCTAAATTAGCTTGGAATCTCTTAAGCTGACCAAGCCCTCTTAGACAGAATACCCGGCAGGCGACTAGCCTTCACCGGGATAGACTGCTAAGGCGATTCACACAGATATCCACTACTGGAATGAGTTCCAGCACAATGTAGTGAATTGACTGACTCTCGCACAACCAATTCACTACTATCAATCAAGGAAGCTCTCTTAACCTAATCAGATTCTATCTATCAAAGGTTAAAGCAGAAATCAAGAGAATTTGATCAGGATTCAATTGACTCAATAAATCATGCCTCAATCGATTATAATCACACAATATAGCATCCAAAACTTCATACAAGAAAGATCCTAACATATGGAACTAGGGTTCCTCAAAACCTAAGTGAAGGGAAGTTACTCCATAGAGAAGAGAGAGATTGCAGAAATCTGATCTAGATCTTCAATCTCCATCTCCAAGCTTGATTCTCGAGCTCCAATGGTGAAGAAATCCTCCAAAATAGCTCCAAGAATGGCTTTAGATCACCCTCTCTCTCTTTAGTTTGTCCCTTGGGTGTTTGGGATCCAAAACCCTATTCCCCCTCTCAAAAAATCGCAAAACAGCTTTTATACCCGCTGAAACTCGTACCCCCTACTTGCACGGCCGTGCAAATTGAGGTTTTGGCCGTGCAAACCCCCTGGAAAACCCACACGGCCGTGCAGAATTTCACACGGCCGTGCACAATTTCCAGCATGCACTCCTAAGCTTCGTTGATCTTGTTTGATCTCGTTTAACCTCCAATTCAGGTGTCGTTTGATCCCCGATGCTCGTAGTCTTGTCCTCTTTCTTTTAATGACAAGATTCATGATTCTTTGTCAATAAAATGAGGTAGAAATCCATTATTGCTCAAGTCATACCCGAGTTTCTCACCCCGAGTCGCCAATTGATCTCCGATTGACTTGAAACTTGCGCCTAGGCTTCACTTTACATGCTAGGACCTGAAATGTGACAAAGGAACACAACCTAGCATAAAATAGGCCAAAGTAGGATAAACACCAAGCTAAACAATCAAGGAATGAGGGGTAAAACATGTGTAAATATGTAGTCATCAAATTCCCCCACACTTAACTGTTTGCTTGTCCCCAAGCAAACCTGGATCAAACCAATGCAACTCTCCAGACCTCTATAGCAACATGCACCCTTGATCGTCGGTAGAGTATTTCCTAGATCATTTAGCAGCTTACAAGGTCAACCGACGCACAAGTCATCTCCTAACTTCTTCGGCAAGAACGCTAGTCTCGAGTCGGTATCATGGCAAATAGTGATTAGAGGACAAATGAATCGTGGACGAAGGGACTCTCAAAAACAAAAGATCATGGACTCACATTTTTAAGGTACTCTACTTTCTTGTTGAAGATGGTTGGAACCCTTTTTTCCTTTTTTTTGTTTGTCTTTTTTCCCCTCTTTTTTCAAGGGTTCCAACATGTTTTTTTTCTCTCCAGAAAACGGGGCTCCCACCTAGAAAAGGTTTTGAGGGAGCCCGGATCTTACCGGCCATGCCGGGAGCCGATGTCTCCAACCTCGTGCGGGGGAAAGAAATGTAAGGGGTCTGGAGGTAGTAGGTGGAAATTAGGAACGGATTCCCGTCTCCTCTTACACACTTTCGCCCTTTTCGCACGGGAGACATTATTTTAAAGCACATTTTCGAGCACCTTTTTCATCAAAACATGATACAGGAGTCCATGACAGGTAGAGAGTCCACAATACCACACACTTCAAGAGTCCTAAGATCACTTATTCACACAATCAACCAACACAATATGAAGAAGAAAGGAGACTTCTTAAATGCATCAACATCCTCCATAGTGCTACACTACCTCCCTAGGTTGCATATTACTATAAAGACTGTCAATTCAAAGCATACTGAGCAGGCAATTTGCAAGGAAACATGTACTTGGAGCCCTCAAATTTAAAAATTTGGACAGTGGCCTAGGATCCAAGCACACAAAAAGCCAACATTCACCCGCATACATAATCGAACATCCCCCCACACTTAAGCACGACATTGTCCTCAATGGAGGAAAGATAAGGAGGGTAGAACGAAGTTACCAGATCCAGGGTGAATGATGGTGGATGGGGCAGGAGGTGTATTCTAGGAGGAGAGAGTGGTCAGAACACAAACACCACACAAAATCGCACAAAGGTTGAGTTATTGACTCTAAAATCAAATAACAAAACTGACTCAACCAAGGAGAAATAGAGAAAGAAATGCAAACCGACTGGTTGGTTGCCTCCCAACAAGCGCTTCTTTCACATCGTGAGCCGGACGATGGCTCCTAAGTTTCGGTCCACCCCAAAACCTCCTTGAAGTTGAGGTTCTCGTCGATGAGGTGGAGTCTCAAGCCACGAGCATGTGGTATGACAGGTGATGGAAGCTCGTGCACTTGATGCAGATAACGTCTCCACCCTCGAGACCTCTTCTTCTCTTCTCTCGTCTCATTGCCCCAAACTAGATATGACAGCATCGATTGACCACCATCGCGTCCACCAAGAGGAACCGATGTCGATGTGGCCTTGGTCTGGCAAAGAGACACTGCAAATGGCTCCTTGCTAAGCAGTTCCTCGAAGTTTGGTGGGGATATTACTTGCAACTCATGGCCGGTGCAGGCCTCTTCCACCTTAACTTCGTCCTCGGCCTGAACACCAATTGCTTCTTCAACCTCCCTTCCTTGTTCATGTGGTATCACCCCTGGGAAATGATCAAGAACTCCTCCTGCTTCACTTTCGTCATCCTCCACAACTTCTTTCTGCACCCTTTCTTGCTCTTCTTCTTCTAGCACGGATTGGAGAGCAAGTTGCCAAGCAATTTCTTTCATGAGATCTTCTTGCATCTCCTCACTCATGCTCGCCTCTTCAAAGCTCAGTTTGGGATGTGGGAAGGTGTGGTCGGCTACGACAGGACATTCCTGATCATGATCATCACGGGAGCTCTCCGTGACAACTTCAGTGTGCTCCACAATGTCCTTGTTGCCTTCTTCTTCCTCCTCCTCTTCTAGTATGGTAGCAGGAGGGTCATCTGGAGCAGGTTGTGCACAAGATTGCTCAAGATCATCGACGCTCTTCTTAAGGCTCGGGAGGATCTCCTCCATTTCACGATAGGCCTGGATACAATGATCCATCCTGGAGCATGATCTCTCACTGTCTCGAGCAAACTCCTCCATGAGAAGCCTCAATTTATAGTTTGGATCTGGCTGTGGAGTGTAGCATGGCTCTGCAAAATGGCCCATGAAGGCCGCCATGGGTAACTCCAGTTCCGATGGCCCTTCTGGTTGTGGGAGAAATTCTTCTTGATAATGAGGTTGTTCTTGATATGCCCAGGGGTCAGATTGTTCACCTTAGTAAGGGGGTTGGTACTGGAACCCAAATCCATAGTCTTCTCCTCCTTGATTTCTCCAGGGAGTCTCGGGGTAATACCACTCGGATGGTGGTGGATACCCCCAATGGTTGGAGAAGCCATGAGGATCCATGATTAAGATCTGCACCAACAAAAACAAAAAACACCCAAGTGAAAAGCAAGGGTGGAAAAGAAAAGAAAAACGCTAAAGTAACAAACTTATGCCTTTCCTAATAATCTAGAAAGTCCTCGGCAACGGCGCCAAAAACTTGACACGCTACGTCACAACACCTAACAATGGCTAAGTGTAACCAATGAAAGGGATTGCAGTATAGTGGTGCAAGTAATAAATATCGAATCCTCGGGTCTCTAGATGTACTATTACTCAGCTTCAGTTCATTATCTAGCAAATCATATTAAGGATTGATTAACTAAACTAGTCTACTAACTAAACTAAGTAAAACTACTAATTACAATTTGGAAACTCACTTAGGTATGATTCCCCCTAGATCCTCAATTAGGTCCAAGTTGTAATTCCTTTTGGTTGTTTTACATTTGATTAAACTGCGGAAGATCCTAAATTAGCTTGGAATCTCTTAAGCTGACCAAGCCCTCTTAGACAGAATACCCGAAAGGCGACTAGCCTTCACCGGGATAGACTGCTAAGGCGATTCACACAGATATCCACTACTGGAATGAATTCCAGTACAAAGCATTTGAATTGACTGACTCTCGCACAACCAATTCACTACTATCAATCAAGGAAGCTCTCTTAACCTAATCAGATTCTATCTATCAAAGGTTAAAGCAGAAATCAAGAGAATTTGATCAGGATTCAATTGAATCAATAAATCATGCCTCAATCGATTATAATCACACAATATAGCATCCAAAACTTCATACAAGAAAGATCCTAACATATGGAACTAGGGTTCCTCAAAACCTAAGTGAAGGGAAGTTACTCCATAGAGAAGAGAGAGACTGTAGAAATCTGATCTAGATCTTTAATCTCCATCTCCAAGCTTGATGCTCCAGCTCCAATGGTGAAGAAATCCTCCAAAATATCTCCAAGAATGGCTCTAGATCACCCTCTCTCTCTTTAATTTGTCCCTTGGGTGTTTGGGATCCAAAACCCAGCTCCCCCTCTCAAAAAATCGCAAAACAGCTTTTATTCCCGCTGAAACTTGCACCCCCTACTTGCACGACCGTTCAAATTGAGGTTTTGGCCGTGCAAACCCCCTGGGAAACCCACACGGCCGTGCAGAATTTCACACGACCGTGCACAATTTCCAGCATGCACTCCTAAGCTTTGTTGATCTTGTTTGATCTCGTTTGACCTCCGATTGAGGTGTTGTTTGATCCCCGATGCTTGTAGTCTTGTCCTCTTTCTTTTAATGACAAGATTTCATGATTCTTTGTCAATAAAATGAGGTAGAAATCCATTATTGCTCAAGTCATACCCGAGTTTCTCACCCCGAGTCGCCAATTGATCTCCGATTGACTTGAAACTTGCGCCTAGGCTTCACTTTACATGCTAGGACCTGAATGTGACAAAGGAACACAACCTAGCATAAAATAGGCCAAAGTAGGATAAAAACCAAGCTAAACAATCAAGGAATGAGGGGTAAAACATGTGTAAATATGTACTCATCAGAGGGCGTCACACTCACGAAGGAACACTTAATCCACATAATCGAGGAGCAGGATCAGGCGCTCGAGGCACTCAAGAAAGAGGTGGAAGCACTGAAAAGAGGGGCGGACGTCGCGCCTCTTCCTGGGGGAAAGAGAAGAGAAAGAGAGGAGGATGAAGAGGGAATGTCCAACGCATTGAAGCGTATAGAGGAGATGGGCACCTGACGCGACACATGGCGTCAGATTTCAATGAATACAATGGATGGACACCAAGGCGCCCTGGTAGGGCGTGGGGAGCGAGGCAACCGCTTGCGCGGAGCATTTGACTCGCTATGACACAACTCCTAACAATGGCCAAGTGTAACCAATGAAAGGGACTACAATATAGTGGCTCAAGTAATAAATATCGAATCCACAGGTCTCTAGAGTTACTATTACCCAACTTCAGTTCATTATCTAGCAAACCATATTAAGATGGAACAACTAAAACTACTCTAACAAACTATAGTTAAAGTTAATATAATTACAGGTTGGGAACTCACTTAGGTATGATTCCCCCTAGCCACTAGCCAGATTAATGATTGATGATTTCTAACTTGTTTCACTTTCATTCACAATGCGAGAGAATCCTTGACTAGACCTTGAATCTCGACTAAAGGATCAAGGCCCTCTTGAGTCGATTGCCTAGAGGGACGTATCCTTCTCTAGAACAACCGATCAAGGCGTTCTGAACTAAACTCCCTCTATCGAATGAGGTTCTCAATCGATACAAAGCAGTGAATCAACCCTCGACTAAAGCAATCGATCCAATACTATCAATCTATGGTGCTCTATTGACCTAATCAGGTATTTGCTCTCATAGGATCAAAGCAGAATCAATAATCTCGACTAAAGCATAATGGAATCATGAAAACATGCATAGATTGAATATAAACTCAAGATTATCAAGTAGGAGTACTCATACAATCATCCAATCAAACAAACATAGCTAGGGTTCCTCAAAACCTAAGTGAAGGGAAGTTACTCCATAGAGAAGAGAGAGACTGCAGTAAGAATCTTCAGATGATCAGTCTTCAAGTCCGGGCTTGTTCCTCGAGCTTCCAAGGCAAAGAAATCCTCCCATTCCACTCTTAGAATGCCCTCAAATCGCCCTCTCTCTCTTTGGTTCGTCCCTTGGGTGTTTGGGATCCAAAACCCAGCTCTCTCTTGCAAAAACGCACAAAACAGGCTTTTAACAGTCTGCGTTCGTGATCCCCGGTCAGAATACCCGGTCGGGTATTTTAGATGGCGACCGGGGATTGTTGAAACGCACCGTCGGGGACAAGGGGTTAATCCCCGGTCAGGGTCAAGAATACCCGACCGGGGATTTATGATTAATGCCCGTGCCCCCTTCTGCTTCTCAGACGCCCAAAACATATTTTCGATCCCCGGTCTGCTCCAAAAAATACCCGGCCAGGTATTTCTGCTCATGGCCAGGTATTTTTCTCCTCCAGCACACTTCAACCCAAACGTGCTCCTTTCGACCCAAAACTCGTTTCTCCGCCTAGATGCCAACGCTAATCCTGAAATATGACATAAACGCACAACCTAGCATGAAATCGGCTTAAAACACGAGAATCAACATCTCAAACGGCTCAAGAATAGGGGTAAAAACATGTGCAATCAATGGTCTATCAAACTCCCCCACACTTAACCGTTTGCTTGTCCCCAACCAAACCGAACTCAAACCAATGCAACTCTCCAGACCTCTATAGTAACAAACAACCCCGATCGTCGGTACAGGATTTCCTAGATCATAAAGCAACTTACGAGGTCAACTGGTCTTCTAAGACGTTCCCTATCACTCTTAATGCGAGTACTAGACTCAAGCCAGGATCATGAGAAGAAGTAGAAGTAAGACAGTCAGTTCATGGATAAAGGGACTCACACCATTCACAACCATGGACTCGTTGTACCGGGGTGCTCTTTCACTTCATTTCACCGTTGGAACCCCTTTTTCACTTTCATTTTACTTTTTTTTCCTTTTTTTCATTTACTTGGTGGGGGCTCCAACTGCAGTCTTTTGCACGGTCGACCCTTATTAGTCGAGCAAGATCAATTTCTGTACATCTAACGCTCGCCAGAGTACTTCTTTTAACTCCTTTTCCTCAACTCGTGTGGAGGGTCAATGAAATTAAGGGGGGTCGGAAGCTCTATCCGTGCCCTTAAAAACACATCCTCAAGTAGGCAAACCGTTCAACGGGTGGAAGTTTTACTTGTACTAGAGACAGCTTAGCTTCACCTTGTAGGAGTGCCCCACTAAGGATCACTAAAATCTCTTCCAAAACCCGATTTTGTGCAATGAACGGTGCCACACACGTTGGGCTTACCCATGTTCAAGATTTTAATGATTTCGACATGGAGGACCAACTGCTTTTCATTTTCCACATGAGCACCCTGTTCGATACACAAGTCCATAACACAATCCAAACAGAGTCACCATTTCCACATGAATTCAACGGTCTTAGCTCCACTGATTCACAAAATCAACTGGCACAACAGAGAGCTAGATAGGAAAAATCTTATACTTCAACATCCTCCATAGTGCTACACTACCTCACTAGGTTGCACATTACTATAGAGACTGTCAATTCAAAGCATACTGAGCAGGCAATTTGCAAGGAAACGCGTACTTGGAGCCCTCAAATTCAAAAATTTGGACAGTGGACTAGGCTCCAAGCATACAAACAGCCAAAATTCACCCGCATACATAATCGAACATCAACTCCCCCACACCTAAGCATGACATTGTCCTCAATGGAGGAAAGATAAGGAGGGTAGAACGAAGTTACCAGATCAAGGGTGAATCATGGTGGACGGGGCAGGCGGTGTATTCTAGGAGGAGAGAGTAGTCGGAACACAAACACCACACAAAATCTCACAAAGGTTGAGTTATTGACTCTAAAATCAAATAACAAAACTGACTCAACCGAGGAGAAAGAGAGAAAGAAATGCAAACCGACTGGTTGGGTTGCCTCCCAACAAGCGCTTATTTCACGTCGTGAGCCGGACGATGGCTCTTAATTTTTGGTCCACCCCAAAACCTCCTTGAAGTTGAGGTTCTCGTCAATGAGGTGAAGTCTCAAGTCACGAACATGTGGTATGACAGGTGATGGAAGCTCGTGCACTTGATGCAGATAACGTCTCCACCCTCGAGACCTCTTCTTCTCTTCTCTCGTCTCATTTCCCCAAACCAGATATGACAACATCGATTGACCACCATCGCGTCCACCAAGAGGGACCGATGTCGAAGTGGCCTTGGTCTGGCAAAGAGACACTGCAAATGGGTCCTT